ATGATTTGAGTTATCATTCACGTCTGTAGCACTTACCGTATTGGCCCGAATATAAGACGACCCTGATTATAAGACGACCCCCCCTTTTTCCAGATGTACCTTTTGGAAAAAGGCTTTTTAAAAAACAAATCAAAACAAATCAAAAAGTTTTTTCTCAGTAAAACACATTTTGTCTTCAATTATTATCATATTGCATATTTGTCCTATTTTAATTTTTGTTTTGAAAGTATGGTAAAAACTGGTAAAATATACCAACAATCACATTTAAAAAATATACACTTTTTGATATACCATAAAAAAAAAAGAAACGGGTAGCCCATCTGAATTAGGACATTTAGGCTATCCATCTAATAGTAGCCTACCAAAATCTTATTAACAGTAGAAGTAGAGTTGGTCCCATCAGGCTAACGTGACAGTCACCACTCATGCAGCTGTAAGGTTTTCTGCTTCTTTGGTTTTTACTCGCGATCTTTACAACACGCATTACATTACGTATTTCATGGCACACTCGTTTTATGCGGTTTTGGCGCCACCTATTGTTGTGGGTGTATTATTGACATGTCAAAGTCTAGACCCTGAATATAAGACGACCGCGTTTTTTGAGATGTATTTCCAAGAAAAAAACATCGTCTTATATTCGGGACAATACGGTACTTACAGTGTGATAATAGTTACATGCTGAAGTTTACTACTTAAGATATATTTAGTACTCTAATGTAAGATCAATTGTAATAGTGATTCTTGCTCTAGCCAGTGTTGTATTGTTAACTTATACTAAAAATAAAACTATTAAAAATAGTTTTTGGTAAATAAAATAAGGCTCAAATAAATAAAATAGAAAAATTCGATTAAAAACGTATTAGAAGTAGAAATGCTGATTTGTCAACTAACGGAAATAAGTTTATTTTGAAGAACAAAAATGACTAAAAGTTAAATAAAAATTAATTGATGTTATATAAAATATTTAGAAAAAAAACTAAAACTAATAAAAATGACAAAAGCACATAAAATTACTAAGACAAACCAAAATGAAACCTAAAAAAGCTCATTCAAAATATTAAGAAATACTATCATAGTATATAAATAATACTAAAATTGCACTCTAGCGACCACTAATAATAAAGTCATATTGGCTTGGTCCTGTTGTATTTGAGCTCTGTGGACAAGTTCATAACACTAGAAAAGTTTAAAACTAAACAGAAAAATCACCAACATTGACATTCAGCCTACTTTTACGTTTTTTTCGTCAAGAAACTATTTCCCACTTGTCAACTATCCTCTTTTTGCCAGGTTCTTAACGTGCTTGTTCAATTTACAAGTGCATAAAATGGCAAAAAGTACCTTTCCATCATTCTTGAGTCACATTTTTACAGTTTTACTTCTCTCCTCACGTTAAGTTTTCCTCCATTCAGTGTGTTCCAGAGGGAGGTGTTAAATCTATTCTGAGTGTGGATGTTGGAGTGTAGTGGCGTCAATGGGAGATTGTTTTATCATTCTCTTTGTAAGAATTACAGAATTCCCTCAGGCTGCGGTTATGAAGGAAATCATTGTGGCTCATCAGACTTTGTGAAGCTCTAATGATGCTGAGCTGGCTGTGATCAGAGAGCCTCGTTTTATTGGCTGGTCTTTTTTAGATATACACGCTGATGAAACCCAAATAGCATAGTGCTTTGGTGGCCACTGAACTTGTGATCTATAATTCATTTTTAGCCAAGTCACACTAATAGCAAAACTATACACAGTAGCGCTGAATCTTCAAAGAACAAGTCCAAATGGTAAGAGACAACCAGCTGTTTTGAAACTTTGTAAGAACAGCCTGAGCCAATTAACTTTCACTTCAGTCTAAAAATGTCTTTCTTTTGGCTTCACAACAATGAAGCTCAATTCATTGACCAGGTTATAGCAAGGGCTACTCAAAAAGTAGCATTACATTTTCATTTAAAATTTGACTAGTATGTACAAATGGATAAATAATGCCTGATATTTTGGCGCCCATAATAACAACATCATTCACATTGCCCGCAAAATTAAGCAGCTCGTGCTTCTCTGTGGTAACCTGCCTATTTTTGCCGCGCATAATGTGCTGAACACAGCAGAAAATGTTGGAAATGCACAATAAACGTATTTATCAACACAATGTTTTGCAATGAATGCTTTTAAAAGCAACATAAAATATCGCAGCAAATTTTTTTTTGGGGGGGGGGAGGCTGTGTGACGCGCAGTGACTGGCACACCAACACGGTCTATTCAGATGATTTAAACAGTTCATAGCTACAGTTTGATGGTGTTTGGCTTTAGTTAATTACCATTTGGATGTAACTGTGGTCCCGCTCCTCGTCATGTAGAAATACTTAGACTTCATGACAAGTCTGTTAGCATTTTTAATCAGTCATTTGAATAATAGTTTGAATGATTTGTTACTGATAGTTACTTTCAATATCTATGGCGGTGCGCTGGGAAGCCACGCCCACAATGAAATATCATTGGTCCAAATGAATGCTCTGCTAAACAATAAATGTGTTCTGATTGGACGTCTTCGTTTCAGGTTGCCTTGTATCTTAGTGTTGACAGACAAATTAACTGGAACTGAAAAGGTATTTAAGAGTTTAAACAAATAAAATTCACATTAAAATAATAAAATAAAATAATAATTAATAAATAAAAATAGGAAAAAGCCAAAGACAGGAACTCAAAAATGTCAAGGGTCACAAAGCCAATTAATTTTTTCCTGTAAATGTGATATATTTTAAGGCTGATGCTCTGAATCATTTTCCCCATGCTTCTACCACGTCATATTAAAGGATGTTGTTAATCCACTGAAAGCATTATTTGTGTTCCTTACACATTCTTCATCTTATCTACACAAACCTGCTACTGAATGTTCAAGTGTTCTTATTCACATCATTCTGTTTAGCTATTCAGCAAATACATGTTAACACTTTGGCATTTCCTTCCCTTTTGCATTGTATTGCACAGTCATTGGTTCTTATTCTGTTTGCATTCCTTCGGCTCTTCCGGCTTTTGGAAGCACGACACAATGGTGAAGCCAAGCAAAGAAGTGATGGATGACTGACAAATCTCCCTTACCGTTTCTTGATTATTGCTCAGATCCTGGTATGTGCTGACATTTTAGTGTCATACATGCAGCAAAAATATGAAATAAGTGATATGTGCTGGCAGTATTGTTGATTTTTATAACTACAATTTATAGAAATAAGCATTAAAAAGCACAATAACTCCCTTAAATATGTATAATAAAAAAATCTGTCATTGTATTCCTTCAGAATGAAACTAAGTCAGTGTTTCAGAAAAACTCATAAGTGAATCAAAAAATCAAAAGTGAAATGCAAATAGCAGTGACTGGGGATATCCTTAAAGGACAATACAATATTTCAGCAATATTTTAGGCTGTGTGTGGCAATGTTTTCCACTGCTAAAGCATACAGGAAGAGAATGCAGACACTCCTGAGACAAAGAGGCATTTGGCCACTGTACCCACCAAGCTGTTTCCTCCCATTCAGGGGATACAGGAACATTTCATTGTTCTCCAGGCAAGGCATGAAGTGATGTTGAAAAGATGGTCGCAATTTAATTAGCGGTCGCCAAAACAGATACACTACAGACTTAACTTCAATTTGCATGATTAACGGACACTGGCTTAATGCCCCCTCCACCCTTTGCTAAAATTAAAAATGCACAACAAAGCATACTGAACATTGATATAAGCCTGGTCTTTCCCTAGAAGCAATTCCTCACCGGGATGTCAGCAACTTTCCTCAGGCCATCCCTTCCTTTTTCATTCTGAATAACTGTGTGGAACATAGAGACGTTCATGTGTTTATTGAAAGCCCTGTATGGTTCACAGCATGTCGGTGATGCTATCATCATTACTCATATTCTCGAACCAAAAACAGTCTTGTGCGAACATTAATGTGATAAAGTGAGAAAGCTGAGCTGAAAGATGGGCTGGTTTCTGCTGGTTTTAGAGTCAGCATCTGGGGTGTGAATAAACAGAAGATGACTGCAAACAATGACGTCTTGAGAATCTTGGGATGGCTTGGTAGGCCTCATTTTTTACATTAGATAGATAGATAGATAGATAGATCTGCAGTTCATCTACAAATATTGTAGATGAACTGCATGTATTATTATCCATGGATTATTTTTAACAGAAGATGACTGCAAACAATGACGTCTTGAGAATCTTGGGATGGCTTGGTAGGCCTCATTTTTTACATTAGATAGATAGATAGATAGATCTGCAGTTCATCTACAAATATTGTAGATGAACTGCATGTATTATTATCCATGGATTATTTTGGGGCAATAGCAAAGAACAAGGGCAAACAATGAACAAGACAGAAATTTTCATCCCCTCATGCAGCATAAGATTTATGGCTGATGAAGAGAGGGAAACGGCAGGTTTCCCCTGGATGTATGCCGGTTAACAAAACATTTGCCAGGATTTGCTTAGATCTGCTCCATTCATGGGAGAGTTTCGCCCTCTAGTGGAACGGAACGCTTTATGCAAAGTTTAATTTATCACGTGACTCGTTCCCTCAAACTGTTTGCTCTCAAAACGTGTCAAGTTCCACTAATGTGGTCTTCTTAAAAAGCTCTACTCGATTTTCTATCAAAATAGGATTGTTTTTCTAAATAATTTCAATTAAATTACCTCAAAATTGTTAAAAATCATAGCATGTGATATGTAAATAAATTGACTGACTGACGACTTGGATACAAGATTTTATATTACCACATCACGTTAACACGTATGGTAGCGATAGACAATTTCATACTTTCGACACTGAACAATGTGTATTTTAAAGTTTAAGTTTTTTAAAGTTATTTTCTGTGATTATTACTGTCGTTGAGTTTGAATTGAAAACGGACCGTTCCTGTGCTGCAAGGTAATTTTGATTCCCTCATGAATACTGTTAATATATAACGTTAATTTCATGCAACTCAACAAGCTCACATTAAGATGGACACAGTTGTTTTATTCATTTTAGATTTTATTTCACTCACATTTTCATATAAAACTTTGTATGTTTTGTCTCCTCTGTAGGCAACAGTTAGCATAAGTCACTCTTACAGCGCAGAATTCAACTCCATTCAGCCTTATTAATAAAGCCTCTAACACACACACAAACAAACATAAACGCATACAATCATAATGTAAATTGGTTTTCAGTTATTGTAGTGGTCTCAAATCTGAGTACTTAAACAGGAGGTGACATGGAAAACAAAAATATATCTGACTAAAAGATACTTAGCGTTTCAGCTACAGGTACATTAGCATGTGCGACATTCAGGCCTCCTTTTAAAGCCAATAGTTTTTAGACCACTGGACTGGTGGATGTTCATACATCAAAATAATGAACAACAAACAAGACTGACTCTTCCACGTTTTGGTCAGGCCCTTAGACCACCATTTTTAAGGATATGTCAGTTTCTAGCTCAGACACTGCTACAGACAAAACTAGTTTGAGTGCAGGAATGTGTGGAGGTGGCATATTTTTCCATTTGTTCATCACAAAAAAAAAAAAAAAGACAAAACACGTAGCCAATACATCAAGATCATTCCGTAAACTGAGACGAAGAGACATGCTAACATACAATGAGGCAAAAAGTAAAGTAAGAAAACATTTTTTAAACACAGTAACAGTATAAAACGCAACAAAATCCTTCTTGTTTGATTGGTCATTTGCAAAACACTTAACTATTGCAGATTTAGGTCTGAATCAAACTTAATGCTTGGAGCTTTACAATGCCAAGTCATATGAGGGCGCAACCATGCTAACAAATTCATGAGTAGCCTCACACGCTGCATTTTAGTTAATGTAATCACATAATGAAGCTTCTCCTTTACTCAAGACTAAAGGGTGTTGTAACGGTGAGTAAACTTGAAGCAGAGAGATAACAGCAACATTTGCATTTACAACCACTGTGGATTTTTAACATTTCTTTTTTCTCTCTCTCTCTACATAGACTCTACATATAGTGTTAATATGAATATGTAAAAACTAAAATAAGAGCACCTTTTGAAATATAATGACCCCATACTGCAGTCACAAACATTGGCTCATCTGACAAATCAGCATGAATCTTTCTGGCACACGTGCAAACACACACACTCATACACATACACACACACACACACTGCAAAATGACAAATTTCTTGGGTTCCTTACGTTTAAATAATTTAGCAACATCACAGAACTCATTTAACTATTTGAAGACACCATTTTTTTTCATGTAACCATTCAAATTATTACTTTGTCTTTAACGTTAAACAGAAGTGAAATAAAACAGCTTCAACAAAGCATCTAAGTAAAATTTTCTTCAACATTATTCATATTCTAAATCAAGAGGGATGAGAGAGGGATGGACTATAAAAATGCAACAGGGAAGAACAGTAAGGATACAGAGGCAAGAAAGATGGTCTTCACAGGGTTTAAATGAAGGTTTGTACGTTAAAAATTAGGTGCACTGTTGACTTGTAATGTTGCTTAAATATCAGGACTGGTTAAAACTGTGGCCTAGTGAGATAAACTAAAAAGGCCAATGTGTAAGTCAAACTTACAATATATAATCTCCTCAAGTCTTCCTTGCCTTGTCATACAGTTCATAAAGGCCTACATGATGTATAAGATCACCTTGGATTTTAAGTACTGGATTTAAAGGTTGAACTTATACAGGTCAATCTCGCAAAATGTTAAGAACACGCCTTTGATGGTGGTAAAATTGTTGTAAAAAATGGTAATGATCCTAATATATTACTTAAATTATGTAAAATGCTATTTTTTAATGCATTTTGTTTCCTTTTGAAATGAGACCTGGACATGTTTTCATGAGATTCACCCATAAAATGTCTTCTGTAATCTTTAAAGGCTTGATGTGCAATAAATGTGTATGATCTCATTCACTCCTGAAAAATTAAAACACCCAAAAAAACAAAAAAAAAAACTAAATGATTGTGAGATGACAATACTCACACACATTGTCCTCGCCCTAACAATACAAAGCGGTGGTAAATAAATAAACGTCCACGAACTGGGACGGTAGGCTACAGCTTCAAACGGTGTCAGGTCAAGACTACAGTAAAGAACTGCTCTGCTGTGCAAATGGCTTGCACATTCATTCATCCTCCTGATCCCCTCTCAGCAAGTTCAAACGAATCAAGTTTTCAACATGCATACAAAGAACAAGCAGCTTTTTCACTCATCTTCATGCTAGCTCTTAGCAAAACACTTGTACAGTACATGAAAACCAAGTATTTCCAGGATTGTTGGGTCTATTCACAGGAAGGATGCTACAAACAACACCCTCTTCTGAAATTAGCAACCCCTTCTCTTAGCGTTAGCATTAGCCATATGCATATTACTAATGTTGCATTCACACCCTGAAATAATTACCATAATTACAGGATTCGGAGTATTAGAAACCATTCAAGGCCTTTGGAAACTTTTGTAATTCCAAGGTTGGAACTACTTCATTTTATAAAAACTTTTTTTTTTTTTTTTTTTTGCAATAAGCTTTGTCATAGAAACTGAGTATATGAATAGCTAAGAGTTGTCATCTCATAATTGTGGTAATTCCAACAAGACATGAACATAGCATTAGCATATACCCTCCTGACAGTGCCAATTAGTTGTTGGGGTACAGTATCGGAAACTGTACAAAGGCCATATAAAGGCGCTGGATAATCCTGAAAATGCTTGCTCCTCAACATAAAGGCCACTTTTTCCCACTAGTATCAAGTAATAAACTGATACCATACTGGAAAAACAAACACTTGTTGTCAGATCAGGATCTCTGCTTTTCTTGAGTTTCTTTTTTCATTTTTTTAAATAAATTATTCATTTTTTTTTTTCTTTTTAATAACTTATTTTACCACGGACAACCTACTTCAAACACAGTACATGCTTATCTCCAGCTAAATTGGATACAAACCCATGAAGGTAACTTGTTTCTTTAACATTTAATAACATTATGCAGTCTTGTAACATATCGCACTGTGTGGAGTAGGCTCTCTTTGAATTTAATGACTAACTTGTGCAAAACTTCTGCAGAGGTGATGGGCTCTACACTTCTGGAGGAAGTTGTACTGCCTTTTCATCCAGTGCCAGGCATGTCTCGAGGCATTCCCCTTCATTTGAGGCCTGTTCTGGACAAAGATGTTCTTCTCCCCCATCCTTGAGAGGTGGAGGTACTTCGACAGACAAGCTCTTGGCTGAATCCTGCCCGCAGGTTTCTTGTTTTTGCCGATCACTCTCCGTATCTGGATCCCCACCTTCACTCACCACCTCCTCTACTTGCGCAGGAAGTGTCTCAAAGGCTGCTGTCTCTACATGACCTACCTGATAATAGAGAACAGAAGCAGGGTCTTTGAGCAGCCTCTGCTCGGTCTGTTCATCCGCATGGTTCTCTGTAATACACAGCAGGGTGGTACCTTCAGGAAAAGGCCCTTCTAGAAGGACTCCCTCAACACCTTCCATACCCTCCATCCCAGCTTGGCTGGTGAGGGCACTCTGCAGGAGGCAAAGGGTTGGGTCAGTGGTCTGCGCCTCCTCGACCTGCTGCTCCTCTTGTTCCAGTCTCCTTTCCCGTTCCTCTGCACTTTGTAGGTGAAGCACAGCTGTTTCGTTCTCATGCGCCAGGCTGTCGCACTGCTCCTCTTGCAACTCCTGAATGCTTTGGCTTTCCACCTCCACATCTGAGTCCAAGGGAGAAAGAGACAGAGATGGAGAAGAGACTAATTCTGTCTCTTCCCCACAATCCTCTCCAGACCTTACACCCAACAGGCTTCTCTTTTCCAGGTCAAGTTTCATGATAGTGTGAAGATAGTGGGTACGCACACGAAGAGGGTTGAACTCAATGCGGCCAGCTGTATTACCACAACCGTCACGGGTGCAGCCACATGGGAAGGACATCCGATCCACCTTTGGAACAAGGTAAAAGAGAAAGAACATATCTTTTATTTGAATAGGCTAATAGGCCAAATCATGGGTGTCTGTTCCTGCTTCTGGAGGACCACCTTCCAGCATAGTTTAGCTCCAGTCCCAATTAAACACACCTGAATCAGCAACTCGGGGGTCCTCAGGATTACTAGAAACTTCCAGGCAGGTCTGCTGGAGCTAAACTCTGCAGGAAGGTGGCCCTTCAGGAGCAGGATGGGACACCTCTGGGCCAACTGGACTCAACTTAAGTCTGACTTTTAAGAATACCATGTGCCCTACCTGGCACTTAATTCCAGCTTGGCTGCAGCCGCAGTGCCGAGGGTCGCAGTAGAAGCGGCAGTCACAACCACACTCCTCCCGGGACAAACGTATGGCACGCAGCTCAGCCTTTTCTCTGGCATCTATGCGGGCAATACCTGAGGCCCTCAGTAGTGCCCGACGTCTCTTGGTCGGAAGAGGCTGCAAGAAGAAGCAATCGTCCACTTCTACACTCTCAACGTCCAGATCCTCATCGGATATGTCATCTAGGGTAAGCAACTCTGCTTCGGGACAATCCACAGTTCCATTCCGTGTCAGCTGGGAAAAGTCAGGTAAAAGAGGTCTTAAAAAGAGGTCTTAAAATCAAAACAAAATGGCTACCCTACTGCAAAAGCAGAATCCTGTAGGAAGAGCAGAAGCTACAACAGAACAATGACCAACAACACAACTGACCTTCAACTTGCGAGCATTGAGCTTTTCTTGCCGTAGGTGTTGACGCAGCACATGCTTGTGGCTGCTCTCTTGTTCTCGTGCAAACTCGCCAAGGGTGTAATGTCGTATAGCACAGTGATGGCGTGCCATGCCTAGGGAGCTGCCACCCTGACTGGGCACACTGGTGAAGCCCTGCCTTCTGGAGAAGTAATAGACTGTCACCGCATCAAAGCGTACCTGCTTACGACCTAAAGATGCTTTGTGTCTTCTGAGAATGGAGGGGGCTACAGAAACAAGATAAAGAGGCACTATAAACAATAATGTTTTGATCTATTGCTTTAGTACTCAACCTACGCCTCCTTAAATGACAATACTGTGGTTCAAACTAAGTCTCACTTTATCCCAAATTGGTGTTTTTTATCTCAAGGCTTGCTGCATTAGCCACAATGCCCAAGTAGGACATGTTCCTGAAACAATATCCTTTGTTGGTCCTTGAACAACATTTCTATAAAAGGTAAACTAAACCATACCCCGACCCCCATCCATAACCTATCACTAACATCTGTGGTAAATAATTGATAAGAATGTAGTTTTATATAGCTATAAGACTATGTCTAACCTTAAACCTACTCCTAAAATCTGATTGTTTAAAAAGCAATGTTGGAACAGAAACCTCTATGGATAAGGGTGCTGTGGCTATAACAAACAAATGAAAATGTCCAACTTGGTTGCACAACTTACTAAAGAGCTTATAATGGTCCACAGACTGCCTTCATAGTATATTTCGGAAAGGGTACTTGTGTGTAAAACAACAGCTGTCGCACTTAACACTGGAATGTTCTGATTTGCAGCTGCTGCAATAGTGCAAATGTTATAGGTGGAATTAGCTCAGGGGCTAGGAAGGAACAAAACAAAACGCAGAGAAATTGTTTGAATAGTAGTTGTTATAATAACGAAATAATAAAACTAACTTATGGTGTGTTCTTACGTGTGAGAGAGCTGGAGGGAGCATTGAGACTGTCACAGCTATCAGCGCTGTCACTGCCAGAGATGTCATCATCCGAATCTTTGGGTGTGGAACACGGCGAGCCGCTGTCCACCTCCTCGAATCTGCGCTTCAGGCCACGAGATGACACTGTCTCCATGGAAACACTGAGCCTGGAGGCATTACAGATAGGTACAAGCTTTGTCCAACAGACTGACAGACTATTGCTGGCAAAATTTAAACATGAACAATCATGACTAAAGAGTGTACACGGCAAGTAGGATATGTATACGTCCAAGAGCAGCATTTTTACTTAAATGATTTTGAATACACTTTCTCATACAAGTTATATAACACAATCAAAAATACTGTATGGATACAAATTTTTTTTTACTTTTGTCATTCCACATAAAGCTTGTTCCAAAATCTACTGACAATGAACAACAGCTGCAGTCCTTAAAATACCTCATTATGAAGGTCAGAGTAACCAAATATAACAAAAATGCGACCAAAAAAAGGCCACATCTGGAAGATTATGCAATATCACCTATTTTGCTAACTAATCCTTGACATTTGCTTTCTTCATCCAGCATGAAAGTCCTGCTTAAAAATCATGAAGCCTGCAAATATCACCATGGTAACTGGTTTAAAGCAATAGCCGTGGAAAAACTGCATCCACATTTTGGGTCTCTTTCACCCCCATTAAAACCTTACAAACAATAAGCCTTTGCGAGCCCATGACGAGACTAGTTTAGTCAAACCAGAGAGGTCACACAAGGCCGAGTCGGGATGTTTGATCAGACCACCTCCTTAGCCCGAGGGAGCTGTGTAATTTAACAGCTTAGAGCGGCTCCATGCCTGATTTTCTTCATGATTAAACACTATTTTTAAACAGTCAGTGGCTTTTTGCTGGGTTGAAGGAGAACAGTTTGGCGGTGGCTTTGAGGAAAGGTCGGCTTTTTCCATGTGAAGGAGAAAAAAGATGACTTATGACTGACAATTAAACTCACAGCATAATGGATTTAATCCCATAGATTTGTGAAATCCATAAAAACTGGATTAGTTTTATGAAATCTGATTTTGAATGCTAAGGAAATAGCATTAGCCTGACTCAGCTTGAGTGTATGAATGTCTTATTGATTCATTTTTTATAATCATTCATTCAATATTCAGGCCGGGTAGCATCAAATTCAAGCCACATACATGCCAATCACCTATCTCCGGCAAAGAATGCGTTACGACCTTGAAACATTAAAAAACAGCTGCGAAAAACAACAAGATGATGAAATGAGAGAGATGCCGATTGAGTATACGCTGCTTTACGCATCAGTGTCTGACACACAGTGTGCTGCTCTTGAATGAACCGTATCCATAGAAACAAGAAATGCTAAGAAACGGGTCAATTTTTTGCTTGCTGTGAAATCGACCTCGCTGTCATGTGTTCCTTTTATAATTAATGCTACCGTGGTGATGCAGTAAAATGCACAGAAATGATGTGGTGATGTACCAGAAGCTGCAAGCAAATAATGCAGTACGTCTGCCAATTACTGGGTGTTCAGTGAAGCGTGCCAAGATTTCTCCTCAGAGCACGTCACTACTATTGGACACCATCATGTACACTCACAGTGTCTTAAAAGCATACGTTCTAACATGTATATACATACAGTATATGCATATGGTAAAGCAATACAAGTATATCCATGCAGTGAAAACAGAAAGCTTTGAAATGCTACCAAACCTACACAGCAAAGACAAACACATCTCATCCCAACCCAAAATGTTTAGGTAGATTACATGTATATAAAACCTAAATAAATGGTAACAAAACAGCTGAGCAAGATGGTATAATCATGACTGGACATAATAATCTTCATTTTAAAAGCATTCATCTTGCAAATTGAGACTTACTATATAGATGCTACATCATACATCAAATACTAAAACTAGTCGGATATGCAACTTCCTGACACTAATCCTGGGTAAGATCAATTTTAAAAACACTGTTTTAGATGTAAAGAGGTAATTAGTCCTTGATTTGTGAGTTATGATCGTTGGCAAATGGTATGAGGCTTTTAAAAGCACTCCATTTTATCGTGCAAAACTGGCAGGACTAGATACGGGCCTCAAACAGCAAATGTAACTCAATGCACATTAAATAAGTGAGAAACGAACATCATGCAGAGGTAGGAGCATGTTTGCACAAAGATGTCAGCAAGAAGATAAGTGGTATTAATTTCTATGCCATACATCCAAGGATGCTCCATCTTTATAAAAATAGCAGAAAAGAAAATCCATCTCCAATAGCATTGGCGTATGATGCCAATAACTGAAGGAATGATTTCTGAATGCAGCACAGGTCATTTAAAAGCAGGGACGCAAATCTGAAATATGTTTGCAGAACTCCTAACACACATCCTGTGGCCTATTTGAGGTGGACAAAAAGCGTGAATAATCACCTTACAGTACTGACTATGCATCAGCCTGTTTGACTGGTCTGCACTGAAATAGCCCATCCTAGACAAATGATACATAAACATCACGTCTTTCTTTTCCAGCATCGACAAACTCTGCATAGGTGACGTTGCAATTTCTTAAAATGCAAACATTATTCCCATTCTGTAGATGCATCCATGCACCACTTCCATCCACAACCAGCAGCTGGTAATTTAAAGAGGTCTAGCAATACAGAAAGTGGAAGATTTATTACAGTATGACATCACACTTTGCACTATAGTGTCCATGTTAATAGAAATCATTATTTTAGCAAAAATATACATTTACAAAACAGGTACATCATACAATAAAGACACTATTATAAAACATGACTGCATCGGGCTGTGGTATCATTTATTCCTTTAAACTAACTTGCATATCATTTTATATTAATAGTACTTGTTTAAAAATTAATAGTGAAGAAACAAATTGTAAATATTTGTCAGTTAATTCTATAGAGATCTATAGTTTAGTTTTTTAATGGAATTTTAACTGTCTTTGGTATACATTCATTTTATTGTATTGTAATGTATTGTGATATTTATAGTAGTAACTATTCAAATAGTTAGGTACTTCATGCAATGGATACTATTCATTAGAGAAGTAGTATGTATTCCAATTATTACTAGTTGTATCTTACTAATTCACTAAGTAGCCATTTTGACTATCCATTACCTAAAAATCTATTGTGACTAGTGAAATAAATGTTACTTGTATAGGTGAAAGTGTCTCAAACTAGCATGTCTAACAAATATATACTAGTAAATCTGGTGCAGATACTAATAACAAAGTACCTAATGAATAAGTACAAGCAACAAATCTAGTAAAATACTAGTCACAGGTAAATAGTCAACACCTAACCACATATTTCTATAGAACACAACTGTAAAAACTGTTACCAGTACTGGATTAATGGCTAGTAGCAGAGAACGAGTGTGTAATGAAACAGTACTAGTAAAATAAGTGCTAGTGAAACACAATTAAACACTAGTTAGTTTAAAGCAATATGCCTAAATGTTAAAAAGGCTTGTCACAATGTGACCCAATATGATTGGGATGACACATCACATATGGTCTGTCCTATGATTTTATATTCTTTACGGGAAAACACAGACAGACGGTCTTATGACAGAGCAGAAAATGGCATGCTGTGTTGCGACCGGTCCAATGATCAACCCATTTTTCCTCGTAGGCTGGGCTGTATGGGAAAGACGGGCAGAAGTGAAACAAAAAACCTTTCTCATAAGCTTACCTTGGGCAGAAATAGAGAGCCTTTAAACCGGCGAAGCTGTCGCTCGATTCGTGCTTCCTTTATTTGGATGGTTCTTTTCTTTGGGGATTTTGAACCTATTTCAGCTTTAGACTTCCACAAGGTTACAAGATGACAGACAAAAGCGACTTCAGCCCATCGAAATGGCCAGACCAATAAGGAAATAGCAGTTTATTCACGAAGATATAGTGATGTCCGAACATTTAAGCATCGTAAACAATGGATATTAGTCTTGACATAGACTACAAATGGGGGTTTTGTGTATCAAGAAGGCTATGCGAGCATTCAACGTTGCAGTCAAGCTCTGTAAAAATTAAAACGGGGCAGACGAAGGAAGACAAGGACCTTATTCATTGAAAATTACAAATCCCGGCGCAGATGCATCCCATAAGTGCAGATAAAATCTTTAGGTGATGCTTTAAAATGCCTGCATTCAAAAAGAACAAATAGAGCCGAGACTTCAGGTTTTTTTCCCCTCTGGATAGGTGGTTGTGTTCTGCGCTATGTTTAGACAAAGCGCAACGTTATATTTCCACCCCGAAGGAAAGAAAAAAACAAAAATGATGTGTAGTATCTGTCGGCCCGAGGACCCTATGGGCCTCTCTTCTGCCCCGGTTTGTTACAATGTAACAATAGAGGAAGGAATGCCGCACGGGACACATATATACTTATTGTGACGTCATCGAAGTGCCGGCGTAGAGGCTGCCGGGAAACGTAGTTCTAAAGAGCCTATTGTTAGCATTGGGAGCTGCATTGTCTTCCTCGACAGGAAAACGGATGTTGTTTCTCAGAGCGGTTATATTTGGGATCAAGGCGTGTATAGCAATAAAGGGCAACTGTTCATCAAACAAAAGTCCCATCTGTGACGTTTACGCTAGGCTAGCTGGGCCTATTTGTAGTCCTCCCTTGGTTTTTTTTTTTTTTGACAGCTCGGTTTCCATGGAAACTAAGTGGGGTTGATTTTAAACTCTAGTCAAACACTATTAGCGAGCGACTGACAATGAAATTGAAAAATAAATTATGAATATAAAAAATATAGGTGGGTAAATTTCACAAGATTTAACAACACGCTGGGGTCACACTGTTATTCATTATTATTTTGTCATATTAAAAATGCTTTTCATTTCCTTTATGCAAAATATATTTCTATTGATTGAGGTGAAATGTTACCCAGATACATTTTTGTGAAATTGAAATTCCTTGCGAAGCATTTTCACCTCATAAATGCCTACAAAGTTCTTAAAATGGATGTAGACATAGGGCTGTATGAGGAAAAGAGTTAATACAACATAAAACAAAACAGCTCATTTAAAGGTAAGTCACTTTAATCATTGCAATGACACGGTAAAGGGTCACAACAGACAATACCTCACGTCTTTACCATCTTGGTCTAGCTTGCGTCTCGCACTAACCACGGCTACCATTTCTCACGCAGTGCAAGGTTTCTCCCCTTTACCAGACCTGAAAGATTAGCACATCAGTGGTCATATCCAAAAGGAAACAAAAAGAAAGTAAAACATGATCTCTCTTTTATACCATAAAATAGTGCTCTGGCAAGTTTGACATTTGTAAAAACTATTCTAGTATATGCAACGATGAAAAAACGAAATGAGGGAGAGGTTTTAAGCACAATGTTAAAAAAATAAAATAAAAAGACGTACATATATAATGCCCACTGCTGCCGTTCATCTTCCGCCTGTAAATAACGTGCATTTGCAGCAACACCTGAAAAATCATCAGGAATCAAAGCTACAGAACCTAATATCAAGCCCAACAGTCATAGTCGCGTCCACAAGGCTTAACAAATCAACAATTAACTTATACAAGACATAAATGATTCGCGCAGCAATGCGTTAGTCACGCTGCTCGCCGTGAACTTGCCAAAAAACTGAACTTGATAATAGTGGCAGTATAGAGCTAATTTAATTCATTCTGTCCCTCACAACATCTGTGATTGCATCATCTGCTAAAAGTGAGGGGGACAATATAAAAACAGGACTGCCTACTTTTTCCTCGCAGGTGAGAGAACTGACGATAACGTTCATCATAAACAGAGGCAATTTCATAAGTGTCCTGGAAATCTCTGGGCGTACCATGGATCTCTGTGACATAACCTTCTACTTATGTTGTTTATAAAGCATGTATTCATTGAGGCATGTGGACTGCACTTCACATGGGACTCTAGCACATGCAGCTAAAATACTCAGGGGGTGACATCCAGGCAGACAACACCAAATAATACTGTATTTAACGCCAGCCAATTCTCTGTTTGAGCCGGTAAGGCCGTACGTAGCACATTATAAACTTTTTTTTCTGGCAAATCAAATTGATGCAAAGAAAGTTAGTAAAATAGAAATTCTGCGATTTGTTTTGCGAGTGTAAATGGAAAGTGGAGGTAAAAGGCAGCACACGCTCCATGGATAAAACAGCAAAGGTTTCAAAATGGGTCAGGTGCCTTTTTTCCTTTCCCATGATCGTCTCCATTATTATTCCAAGACAAGCGATCTTCGGTAAGGTCCAGGAAGTGTGCAGGGAAGGGGCTGTCGGTTGAATCTTAAGAAAAACATAAGGGGCCTGTTCACTCCCCCTCATCCGTTGTTTTCACTTCAAAATGATGTGATAGCCATCGTTTGTTTCAGCTGCAAATTCAATCGAAAGAGTGCAAGTTATAAAACAGAAGTTACCTAGAAACAAAGACATGTGGGTTCAACTTGTCAATACTTCGAAAAAACTGGCTTGCTCATACCTTTCATTGTGTCCAGGACAAAACACATCTCATCTTGAAAGTTCTGAATCATCTGTTCGAATGAGAACGTAAAGATTAAGTCAGATAAATAAAGAATAAGAGATACTACTTAAAATCATGATAAAACGGAAGTAGCATCAGATCTTTTCTTCTGTTTCAAGACGTACATTTGATTGTTGATAGAGAAAAACGTAGATTGGGGACTTGTTTCTGTCCATCGGCTGTTGATTGGATTTTGAACTCAAAAATGAATGCTGTGCGAAGTATGGCATACATCACCAGAGAAAAGTTTTTCTGGTCGTTCCTGGTCTTAAGGCACTGAATGCGAAAATACTTTATTCTCACATGTTCTTTATACAGAATATGATTTCTATTAATTCTCCACTGAGTAGAGAGTGCATGTCTGCCTATTATAAAATCAAAATCAACTACAGATCACAATCGGACGTTATTACAAGCACTCGATGATGTGGGTTTTAAGCAAAAACATTAATAATCACATTCATTTTCGAATGTGTAGCTTGATGCTAATTGTTCCTACAAATACATTTTAAGATGTATTCTTGTAAGCATTATAGATAGTTTGTGTTTATGATGTAGAACCAATCTTTAATTATATTAATTTAATGCTGTTGAGAAGCGGACAATGTTAAATCCATATACAAGATACATATCTGAAGAAAAATGCATTGTTGGTCAGCGCCACCTAGCATGCAGGCATGAATTAGCACAAGGCAATCAATTGTTTCGTGCTCGGTATGAAAGCACCGTTCGCCTCGCTTTTTTTTTGCATCGCGCTCAGTGTGAAACGGCCTTTATTGTGCATGTTACAACAACATTATCTGCCTTTGAAAAGGTTTTCATTTTTAACTCACCAAGCCGCCTTATTTTCCAACCCTATTATCCAAACATCATGCTCAATTCTGGTATGTAATGCCCATTTTATAAATCCAATCGATACTTAATTAAATAGCATCGTATTTAATTTTTGAGAGGAATGAAAATGAAGCTGTGAGGGACATAAGTATTGTGTGTTCAATGGATTGTACTGTTGTTTAACAACATACGTTTGTTCAGCTGATGAAACATCTTTCTGAAAAATAACTTTTAGTAGACAAAAACTCTATAAAACAGTTTTGAAAACTGTGAGTTGGCAAAAACTGTGTGATCTGGGACGTTTATAGAGTGCCTGCCATTGTAAAGACTGTAAATATATCCCTCAAAGCCTTGTTTTCATCCACGTTAAATTCAATATGCTGTCTAGCCTGACTAAGTTCTATAACTGATGGATAAAATCCATGTGCGGTCTCTTATTTTCCACACTTGAGCTTTTGGCACCAAACTCAATGCATTTGGTTTTGCAAACTCGGGTGCACAGAGTCCATTTGGACTCCAGTTTGGTGTACAATTGGTATGAAAGCAATCTGCTCTTATTTGTGAAAATGAACTGCTATCGATGATGGATTGATGACGAGCGATGCACTGCAAGCACAGCAGCAAATTCTGCAAGCTCTGCAGAAATGGCCTTCGGCAAGTAGCTTACATCTCTTGCAATGCATCTTCAGACCAAACAAAGCGAAACAAAGTGTGAATATAGCTTTAAGCTTGCCCTCTATTAAGTAGCAATAGGGTTAACTTTGCACAGGAAAATGGAGGGTCACAATCCTGGGATTACCATCATGCCTCATCGTTGTTGTGTCCTTGAATAAACTACTGCCTTCTAGGGACAGAGCCCAAAGGGACAACTTTAACATGGGTTTGTTAGAGGATGAATTTCAAAGTTCAAGTAAGCAAATTTCAACAGTAAAGTGATCTTTGCAACACTTGTAAAGTGAAGGGAATGTTTTTATAGTGCGCACAGGTTAGTGCAAGGAAATCTAAACAAATGCAAGTTAAGTGCCTATACCAGGGGTTCCTAAACTTTTTTGTCAGCCGAACTGCTTATACGTAAAACATTTACTTGAAGAAACCCCTAAGATTAAGTAAATATTTCAAAAATGTAACAACACATTTGCATATTCACAGTTCTCTCTTGGTCAATGGTCAAATGACATGCAGGCAAACAGATTAAAGATTTTAATATAAACTTTTTTTCAGTAAATGCTTTATTTTGGTTGTTTTTATTTAAAACTTATTCATAAATAGGGCTGCACAACTTGGCCAAAAAACTACACTGCAATTATTTTGTCATGTATGGCAATTTTAACAGTTATATGATTTCATCTAATATGAAAATATCTCTTACTGCTACTGCTGAAACCAACTAAGACCTCTTTCAGGATCTTTCTTCTTCTTCTTCTTATTATTGTTATTATTATTAGTTTGAACTCTAATATTAAAGAAAGCCATATATTACTGTTGTAAATTACAGTTGTACTGTAAAATATAAAAATTGTATTTGATAATTATAAAATTGTTTTAGACTACAAGTTACCAATATTTATATCTTAAGAGATGGATCACCAAAAAAAATAAAATTCTGTTGCCATTTACTCACCCTCAAGTTGTTCCAAACCTGAATTAATTTCAACAGTTGTTGGTCCCCACTGACTTCCATGTTTAGTTTTTTTCCCTATACTATGGAAGTCATCAACTGTTTGGTTACCCATATTCTTCAAAATATCTTCTTTTATGTACAACAGAAAAAAGGAACTCAAACAGGTGGAACAACTTTAGGATGAGTAAATGACGACAGAATTTCATTAATGAGTGAACTATCCCTTACTACTTCCCTTTCAAACATTCAAACTCTTGAAGTTTTTAACATTTCAAATCTTAAAACGTTTATTTTGGGCAATACTGGTGGAATTCTGTGAACTTCTATCTACAGAAATGTTGGAAATTATGCAAATGTGTAAAAGTGAACCAAAAGCACACTGGGT